AACCTTGCAGTTAGCAGAACAGTGCTTATCCTACAGTACAACATCAGAACTATGGGTATTTGCTATTGTTGTTAAGTGCCGCCAAGTCGATTCCTACTCATAGTGACCCTGTATAGGGTTTCCAAGGAGAGGCTGGTGAGTTTGAACCACTGACCTTGCAGTTCAAACCGAATTGGCAGTCCAGTGGTGGTGGTGATGGCACGCCACCAAGTCGGTTCCATCACATAGTGACTCTGTATAGGATTTCCAAGGCTATAAAATCTTTACAGGAGCAGAAAGTCTCATCTTTCCTCTGGACAGCGGCTGGTGTATTCAAACTGCTGACCTTGTAGTAAAGAGCCAAATGAGTAATCGACTACATCACCTGAGCTCCTGTGTGCATGTGTATGTTTCCTGTCTGTGGCATAAAAAAAAAAAAAAATCAAAAGTATATAAATTTAAATAATGATTATCCATTAACTCAATTTAATACTAGTATGTTACCTAATTATTTTTAAGCCTATACACCACAAAACATACTTCCGTCATGATATAATGTGACAGTCATGCGATGATTCCTCATGATGGCTCTGATGTGATAAATGAGTAAAAGACTTAAGGGTGAGATGCAACACCCTTAACCCCATCACAGCCCTGATTAGATGCAAAGGGAGTTTCCCTGGGGTGTGCAATGCAACATCTTTTACTTCTAAAAGGTAAAAGAGGAGAGAAGTTGAGCAGAGATCCCTTCTGATAACATGTCCAAAGTAAGAGACACAAAGTCTCACCATTCTGTCTCCAACAACCACTCTGGCTGTACTTCTTCTAACACAGATTTACGTGTTCTTTTGGCAGTCCATGGTGTATAGTCAATAGTCTATGCCAATACCATAATTCAAATGTATCCATTCTTCTCCTGTCCTCTTTTTTCATTGTCCAAATTTTGCTGCATATGGGACAATTGGAAATATCATGAGTCAATTACGCCTTAGTCCTCACAGTGACATCTTTATTTTTTAACCCTTTATAGAAGTCTTTTGCAGCATATTTTCCCAATGCAATATATTGTTTGATTTCTTGACTGTTGCTTCCATGGACATTGCTCATCGATTCAAGTAAAATGAAATCCTTGAGAGCTTCAATTTTTTCTCCATTTATCAAGATGTTGCTTACTGGTTCTGTTGTGAGCATTTTGTTTTCTTTATGTTGAGGTGTAATCCATACTAGAAGAGTGTAGTCTTTAATATTCATAAATGTTTCATGGCCCTCTCCATTTTCATTTCAGCAAACAAGGTTGTGTCATCTGTATGTCTCAGATGGAGTTCTGGTATGGTGCTGTAGAATAAACACTGAACTGTTAATGGCAAGGTCTGCAGTTCAAATCTACCAGCCACTCTTTGGAAACTCTGTACAGGTTGCTGTGATTTAGAACCAACAACAACGTTGGATGATTGGGGACTTGTAAATACCAGGGGAGCAGCTGCCTTCATAATTGTAATTTTAAAATCTATTCTCCTCTCTAAACTTTATACAATCTTTTTGATTGATTCCAATTATAATCCTAATTTCCTCGATTATTTAAAAAAAAATTTTAGGTTACTCCCAGGTTTGAGAAATTCATTCACAGTAGTTTGTAATTTTGCTCTTGACAATGGGATATAAAAATATGGTCAAGTTTCCAGTTCTCAAGAAGAATGGTATCAATCGTCCATATAACTGAAGGATATCTGTTAACTCTGGTAGCTTCGTGATTCCAAATCCTCAACCCCGTCCCTGAGTCCGCAAGGTCAGCAGTTCAAAACTACCAGCTGTTCCGTGGGAGAAAGATGAGGGTTTCCACTCCCGTAAAGATTTACAGCCTCAGAAACCCTGTACAGGGTCGCTATGAGTCGGAACCGACTCCACGGCATATAACAACAACACCATCTGTTAAAGAAGAGTTGGTGTCAGAGAAAGATGGAGCTTCAGAAATGGCGGGAAAAGGAAGTTCAGCTAAACGAGACTTGGAATCAGGTGATCTGTAAGGTCTACTAGGCCTTCTTTGAGACATAATTGAGTATTTAGAGATTTCCAAATACTAATCAAAGAATGCTGCATTTCTCAAGGACTCCTCTAACTGATCTATCTGAAAACTTCCTGGGCTACATTTGACCCTTGTAGTCAAGATCTTGTAACCACCCTCCCCCCACTGCCCCAGATGACTGAGTGGGACTATGCAAATAAGGTACTTGGGGCCCACCAAGGGGATTGGACAGTTTTGCTAATGCAAATAAGGTTGGGACCATGCAGATAAGGTACATGGAACCCTTGTAGGGGATTGGTCCGTTTTGCCAATCTCAGAGGTTGAAGGGAGACTTCACTACCATCAAGAAAAGTCAGGAGCAGAGCACATCCTTTGGACCTAAGGTCCTTGCTCTGAGAACATCCTAGACCCAGGAGATAGAGTTGTAACACTGAAGACAACAACATTAAGAAACAGAGGCAAGCTTGGTGGAGTCCGGGGGCAAAGAAACGGCAGCAGCAGAACTAGGATACCAGTGTAAAATGGGATGGTGTTCTTTCTAGCCCACATAGTGAGGCTGCTACAGTGGCCTTCCCTGCCCACTGAGTGAGAGAGCTATCTTCAGAAAGGAGGCTTGCGGTTGAATTTGAGTACCTTCAGGCACTTATCAGTAGAGCTAAAGAGTTTTGTAACACCTGCTGGAGAAGGGCAGAGGCCAGGCAAAGAGCCAAGAGACAGGCCTACTGGCAGCCACAGCCAAAAAAAAAAAATTTGTTCTGTTTTGAAGAACTGTATTCTGAGTCATGCCTTTTACATTCAAGTTGATTCCAATCCTGAACTGTAGTCTGTTACTTCCCTAATAAAGCCATAATCACAAATATATGGTCTGTGAGTTCTGTGATCATTACAATGAATTATCAAACACAGCAGAGAAGCAGAGTGCTCTGACAATGCGGGCTCTCCTCTTTCCCCCTGAAGGTAGACAAGATCTGATGCCTTGTCATTTTTATTCTTCCTCATAATGGCCACCCACTGCCATCACGTCAATTCCAACCATAGCACCCTATAGGACAGAGTAGAACTACTCCTTCGTGTTTCTGAGACTATAAATCTTTCTCAGTATAGAGAGCCTCATCTTTCTCCCAAAGAGTGGCTGGTGGGTCTTGAACTGCCAATCTTGCGACTAACAGCCCAGTGTTTATTCCACAACACCAGACCTCCTTCATAATGGCCACAGTAGGTCTAAATGGTTCTGAGTTAATTTCATCCATTCTTAACCATAAATTTGTGAAAGTGCTTTGGATCTCCAGGATCCTATATCTTATCTGCAAATAGCAGTAGGACCCACAAGAACATAGTCCATCGAGAGGGACAGATTCAGTCTGCCCTCGTCCTGAATAAAGCTCAGAGAACTCAAAACGCAGAGAGATCAGAGTTCAGATCTGAGAGGACAACCTTCAAAAACATCAGGAAAACAGGAAGTCCAAATAACTTTGTGGATACTAAAGTCTGCTTCTGCTAAGTCCTTGGAGGTTGCCTTCAGAATCCCTCTTCAGACACCAAAACTGTCCAAATAATTGAGTCTATAACAAAATGAATCTCTCAGAAGAGGTTTATTCAGGCAGAAGATTCAAGAATCAGGTGGTACCAAACCACATGTGGAAAATTACTCCAACTGGGTATCAGCAATGACCGGCTTTTTATTTAAAAACTTGGAAGCAAAATAGTTTTTTTCGGATTGACTTATACAATTTCTTATTGAAACACCAGGATTTTATTGATCCATGAGGGTAGAAGTGCTGTCAGAATCTCATTGGTCAATGAAGGTGACCTGAGTTACAGGAAGGTTAGGTCTGCAGTTCAAACCCACCAGCCCCTTCTCAGAACCAACTTGATGGTACTTAATACCACCACCAACAAGGCCTATGTTTAATTAAGTAAAGACAAGTGTTAGAGACATTGTCTACTTGATGTCATTTTATCAACTACAACACATTATTTTTAGTTCATTTTACATGCCTCACCTGTAATGGGAATGATTATAAAAATACATAAATCTTTGTGAGGATGTTGTTTTTGTTGTTAAGAGCCATTGAGTCAGTTCCAACTCATAGCCACCTTGTCTAGGGTTTCCGAGGAACAGCTGGTGAGTTTGAACTGCCAACGTTGCAGTTGGTCCAGTGCTTTATCCTACAGTGCCTCACCAGGATTCTTATGAGGATGGTGGTGGTGGTGGTGGTGGTGGTTGTATGTTACGGAGTCGGTTCTGACTCATAGTGACCCAGCATAGGATTTCTGAAGCTGTAAATCTTTATAGGAGCAGAAAGCCTCATCTTTCTTCCATGGAGTGACTGGTAGATTCGAACTGCTGACCTGTCAGTTAACAGCCCAGCTCATAATCCACTATGCTACCAGGGCTTCTTATGAGACTAGTGGAAGGATTAAGTGAATTAATAGGTAGAACATGCTTAACCCAATGGGGAAGGCACCTCTGTGCCACTCAGCAGCCCATCCACACTGAGAGAATCCTTAAGCCAGTTCCTCATCCTTCTACATGTCTCAGCCTTAATTAGCAGCTCCCCAAAGTCAGATCACTGAAGGCTATCCCTAGGAGTCCTAAACTAGACATTCTCCAGTTAGCCTACACTTGAAAGGTTGGTGGTTTGAAACCACTCAAAGGCACCTCTGACGACTAGCCTGGAGACCTGCTTCCACACGGACTAGACATTCACTCACACCAGCAGCAGGTGATTTACCTGAAACAAAGCTTCTTACCAGGACTGGATTTCAGTTTCTCTTTCCTTCTCCGTGTGGCTCTAGCATGGACTCACCTGACCCCACCCACACCTGGGAACTCACCACGCTCAGCAACTGGCCCCACCCATTTGTGTCTTTTCATTCTAAATGGAAATCCCAATTTCCTTTTGCCTTTTCACTTTACACACATCAGAATGGATTGCCCATCCAGCCCAGCTAAAAAGCAGAGCCATGCAGCCAGGGAGGCAGTTGCTGGTTGGCCATGGCTACAGCACAAAACCTGATGCTGGTGGCTGTGATGCTGGGTTTGGCAGGAGCAAGCCCTGTCCCCACTCCCAAACCTGACACAATGAAGAGGGGCTGCCATATTGACAGGTTCAAATCTCTGTCACCCCGGGAGCTGGATACCTTCAAAAGGGCCAAGGATGCATTGGTGAGTTCCTTTTGTTATGAACTAACATCCATCCCTCTTAGAGGGGGGCCAGTCTCTTCTGCCCTCCTTTAGTGGGCTAGCCTCTAACCTTCCAGCTATAGCTAACCTCTCCAGCACAGCTATGTGCCAACTCTCTCCTTTCTACTGTGGGCTAACTTCTGCCCTTGTCCTCTAGGAAGAGTCACTCTTGCTGAAGAAATGGAGCTGCAACTCCCAAATCTTCCCAAGTACCTGGGACCTGAGGGAGCTTCCGGTGAGTTGTGTCACAACTGGTTGTGACTCAGCTGGTTGGCCTCAGCTGGTTCCTTTCACGTGGTTCCTTAAGCGAGCCCCTTTGTGTTCTTTTGCTCACTTTCTTGCCCTTCTTCTGATCCCCCTGAACCTGTCCTGTGTCCTTGTCACTCCTCAATCCCGTCCCTGAGTCCCTTTTATCATCTCCCTGCCGGTCTCCACTTTCCTATCTCCCTCAACTGTCCCTCTAACTCTTTCCTTCCTCTTTGTTCTGTCCCATATGTCCCAGTGTCTAGCTCCACCTAAGCCCCTTACCTTGCTCAACTTTCCTATCTTCTCTCAACACTGGCCCACTGTTCCCCTCCCGCTGGCTCTCTCCTAGGTCCCTCATCATCTTCCTTTCACTGATCTCCTTTCAGCATCAGCTTCTCCTTCACCCACCCCTCTCACCAATGCAGCCTGCTCTCTTGCCTACCTCCCTAACCTGTTCACTTCTCACCTAACACCATCCCCTGTTCCTTCACCTCTGTCACCCCATGATTTCCTTTCATCTTTCCCCTATTTTACTTGTCCCTCAGCTGTCTCCTCCTTCCTTATGTTTCTCCCTCTTCTGTTTCTCTCTCACCTTACCCATCACCCGTCCCCATCACTAATCTCCTGCTCACCTCACCTCAGCATCTATCCCTGTCCCATGCAACCTGCACTCCTCCCCCATACTCCCTACCTGTTCCCACTTACCTGTGCCCCATTGCCTATCTTTCCTCACCTTTCTGATTAAGCTGCCCACTCACCTGTCCCCCTCATCTTTTTCTTACTTCTCAGGTGTGGGAACGCCCTGTGGCCTTGGAGGCTGAGCTGGCCCTGACACTGAAGGTCCTGGGGAATGTGGACAACTCAGCTCTGGGGCCCATCCTGGACCAGCCCCTTCATACGCTGCACCACATCCATTCTGAGCTCCGGGCCTGTGTGAGTCTTTGGGACACTCAAGATCCTTCTGTGGGCTCTGGCCCTGTGGGACCTCACCCCTCTCTCTGCTCCGGCAATGCTTCATACACCCCTCTCCTCTGCCCACAGGTCTCTGCTCAACCCACAGCAGGTCCCAAGACCCGGGGCCGCCTCCACCGCTGGCTGCACCGGCTCCAGGAGGCCCTGAGGAAGGTGAGTGATAGGGAGGGATGGATGCCAGGGTCCTGTGTACGGGAGGAAATGGATGCTGAGCAGTGAAGGACCACCTACTTGTCTCCCCTATAGGAGTCCCAAAACTGCCTTGAGGCCTCTGTCACATTCAACCTCTTCCGCCTGCTCATACGGGACCTGAAATGTGTTGCCAGCGGAGACCAGTGTGTCTGAAAACTGAACCCACCTCCAGCCCAACTGAGACCCAAACCTTATTTATGTACCAAGTCCCACTCCTGCCTTAATTTATTTCTACCCTTCCCCCCACTGTTGACAAGGCTGCTGCCTTAATGTTGACCTGTAAGAAATGTTTCTTTTTCTACTTTTGTACAAAATGCACAAAATAAACAGTCAGGAACTGAAGCTTTCTGTAACAGGTGATTTCTCTGTGTGTGTGTGTGTGTGTGTGTGTGTGTGTGTCTGTAACTGAGTGTGCTTTGGATGTCTGTGTGATACAGCTAAAACTCAGAGCTGGTTGTGTTTGTCTGGGTGTGTCTGAGAGTCTGTGTAGATGCATACACAAGTATGGATCCAAGGAAGGGTCTGTCCATACCTGAGTCTAATGAAAGATACAAACCTGTGCACGTTCATGTGCACACCCTGTCTGTGTGGTCTACATATCTGTTTCTAGGTGTGCCTACACAGACGGGGGTCTTCATCCCTATGGGAATGGTTTAGGCTGCAAGTAATCAAAAAACCTAACTGAAATGACTCAAATCCTGAGTGTATTATCACAGCTCAGGACTGAGGTTCAAGGACCATGATTCCCCAGTGGCTCTGCAGTCTCAGTCCATTTATGGAGGAACATTGGAGTTACAGCAATGGTATTTAATAAGTTACTCAGTCCTAAACAGAAACTTTTTGTGGACAAGATTAGAGATTACAAATCTAAGTGGCAGGCCTCTGCAGGACCTGTTGATACTGGCCCAGAATATCAACAAGAGCTGGAGAAGGGAATGTTTAAGCTTAAATAAATGTATGGTAAAACAGACATGACTACCTTCCCTAACTTCACATTTGAAGATCCCAAATTTGAGGCCTTTGAGAAACCCAGTCCTGATGCAATACACAAAATTAATATTATACTTTGTCATGAATTCATTGTATGGTTAAACAGTGATCAGAATAAACATATTACATAATTGAAAAATAACAATAATTGCAAAAAGTCCATTGGCAGTTGGTTCCAATTTATAGTGGCCCTGTATAGGGTTTCCAGTAGCATAGTGGATTATGGGCTGAGCCGCTAACCACAAGGTCAGCAGTTTGAATCTACCAGTTGCTCCACAGGAGAAAGATGAGGCTTTCTGCTCCCGTAAAGATTTACAGCCTCGAAAACCCTTTAAGGGTCACCAACTCCATGGCACACCACCACCACCATAGGGTTTCCGAGGAGCAACTAGTTAATGGGTTTGAACTGCCAACCTGTGGTTCACAGTCCAGTACTGATCCTACAGCGCCACACCAAAAGTCTAAGGCGGTTCTAGGGCTGGTTAATTCATTCACTCCATAAATGTCACTGGGGACTGTTACGGATTGAATTGTATTCCCCCGAAAGATCTACGGAAGATCTAACCTCTGGTATCTGTGAATCTGATCTGATTTGGAAATAAGGTCTTGGAAAATGCTGTGAGTTAACATGAGGTCATATTGGAATAGGGAGTGCAGTGACTTCATAGGATAAGCACTGGATTGCAAACCACAAAGTCAGTGGTTCGAGCCCACCAGCTGCTCCATGGGAGAAAGATGAGGCTTTCCCTCAAAAACTTAAAAAGCCTCAGAAACCCATACAGGGTTGCTATGAGTCAGAACCAACTCAACAGCACTTAACAACAACAACCCTGGAATAGGGTAGGGGTGGATCCTAATTCAATTTGAAAGGAACTCTGGTGATGTAGTAGGTTAAACACTAGGGCTGCTTACCGGAAGGTCAGCAGTTCCAACCCACCAACCACTCCATAGGAGAAAGATAAGACTGTCTGCACCCACATTCAGTCTAGGAAACCCTAAGGAGCAGGTCTACTGCATCCTATGAGGTTTCTATGAATTGGAATTGACTTGATGGCAGTGGATTAATTTAGTACTCGTCAACAACAGCAACCAGTTAGCATCCAATCAATTCCAACTCAGAGTTAGAACTGCATTCCATAAGGTTTCCATGGCTTCCACTTTTCAGAAGTAGATCACCAGGCCTTTATTCCTAGGTACCTCTGAGTGGATTCAAGCCACCAACCTTACAATTAGTAGCCCAGTGTTTAACCATTTGCACTATACAGGGACCTTCAGTATCAGTCATGTCCTTATAAAAGAGAAGACTGGAGACAGAGAAATAGAGGAAACATGACCATGTGAAGTAAAGTAATTGAGGTGGAGTTATGCAGCAGCAGCTAAGGAATGCCTGGACTGGGGACAGAGGGGTGGGGGGTGGAGTTCCAGAAGCTGGAAGAGACAAGAATCATCCCGTAGAGCTTTCAGAAACAGAAGGGCGCTGCTGACACTCTGAAATTGGGCCTCTAACCTCCAGGACTATGAGACAATGCATTTCTATAGTTTTAAGACACATTTATAGTACTTTGTTATGACAACCCTGTTGGCTGATGTTTACTTTGGCTAGCTCATGGTCCCAAGGTGGTAACCACAGATCCAGATGTCCCACCAAGATAGCAAGCAATCGCCAACTCATAGCAAACCAACCCAAATGTAGTAGAGTAAAGCAACAAATAACTGATTATGCTCACTGAGTCTATGGATCACAAATTTGGGCAAGGCACAGTATGCCACTACTCTTTAATGTCTGGGCCTTGATTCTTTTTCTACCTGTTGTTAAGAGCAAGGAACACCTTCCCCAGAAGCCCCTATTTGAAGTGCATGCTTTTCTCATTGGCTAGAATTTAGTCATGTGCCTACGCCTAAACTAATCACTGGCAAGGAAGATTGAATTCTAAAGGTAGAGCCAGATTTATCCTTGAGGATGGGGAGAAACCCTTTTCCTGAGAACCCTTTCCGAGGCCCAAGGAGGATGAATGCCTGACAAAATTAGAGCCCTACCAACCAGAGGTCCTGGTATGGTGTTGTAGGGTAAGCACTGAACTGCTAACTACAAGGTTGGTGATTCAAATCCCTTAACTACTCCTCGGAAACCCTAAACAGAGTATCTATAAGTCGGAAGTGACTTGACTTGAAGGCACTTAACAACAGCCAGGAAGAAGGTAGAAGATGGACCAATCTCCTATCAAGTCAATTCTGATACATGCCATAGGATTTTAAGGCTGTGACCTTTCAGAGGCAGAGCACCAGGCTTTCCCCTACTTCCAAAGTGCCTCTGGGTGGATTTGAACTGCCAATCTTTCAATTAGTTGTTGAGTACTTAACCATTTGTCCCACCCCAACACTTCTAAAGGACTTAGGCTGTTGTTGTTAGGTACCATTGAGTTGGTTCTAACCCATAGTATCCCACGCACAACAGAATGACACGTTGTCCGGTCCTCTGCCATCCTCACAATCATTAATATGTTGGAAGTTATTGTTACAGCCACTGTGTCAGTCCATCTAAATTCTAGCCAGTGAGAGAAAAGGTTACTCTCTTTAACTGACCCACTGTTTTACCAAGCAGGATATCCTTCTCCAGGCAGCCATCTATCCATCACAATCCATTGTGAGGTGTGTCACATTTATGACCAAGAGTAAGTCACTCAAGTAGCTGAATGGTTGACTTTTTGCCATATTATAGGGGTTTCAAAACCATCTCCATAATCCTAGGATTCTCACTCCTTTCATCCTTGAGTGTTTTCTTGATTAGGAGACAAAGGGCTGGAGATATAACTACACACTAAGAAAAACTGAAGGCACTCACTCATTTATGCCAAGAAATTTGGAAGACAGCTACTTGACCAACTGATTGGAAGAGATCCATATTTGTGCCCATTCCAAAGAGAGGTGACCCAATGGAATGTGGAAATCATTGGACAATATGATTAATGTCACATGCAAGTAAAATTTTGTTTTAAACCATTTTTAAATGGCTGCACCACTACATTGACAGGGAACTGCCAGAGGTTCAAGCCAGATTTAGACAAGGACGTGGAACGAGGGATATACTGCTGACATCAGATGGATCTTAGCTGAAAGCAGAGAATACCAGAAAGATGTATGCCTGTGTTTTATTGACTAGGCAAAGACTTTCGACTGTGTGGATCATGACAAGCTATGGACAACATTGCAGAAAATGAGTATCCTGGAACACTTGACAGTGCTCATGAGAACCTATACATAGTACAAGAAGCAGTCATTTGAACAGAACAAGGGGACACTAAATGGTTTAAAATGAGGCAAAGTGTGTGCCTGGGTTGTATTCTTTCACCATGCTTATTCAATCTGTATGCTGAGAAAATAAGTCAACAAGTTGCATTATATGAAGAACATGGCATCAGGATTGGAGGAAGACTCATTAACAACCTGCGATATGCAGATGGTACAATCTTGCTTGCTGAAAACTAAGAGGACTTAAAATACTTGCTGATGAACATAAAAGATCACAGCCTATGGTATGGGTTGCATCTCAATGTAAAGAAAACAAAAATCCTCACAACTGAAACAATAAATAACATTAATAGAAAAGATTGAAGTTGTCAAAGACTTCATTTTGTTCAGATCAACCAACACTCATGGAAGCAGCAGTCAAGATATCAAACGACATATTGCATTAGGCAAATCTGCTGCACAAGACCTCTTTAAAGATCAAAGATGTCAGTTTGAAAACTAAGGTATGCCTGGCCGAAGCCATGGGCTTGTCAATAACCTCATATACATGTGAAAGTTGGACAAGGGAATCGTAGAAGAATTGATGCATTTGAGTTATGGTGTTGAAGGAAAATCTTAAGGTACAATGAACCGCCAGTTGTTGTTGTTGTTGTGTGCCATGGAGTCAGTTCTGACTCATAGCGACCCTATACAGGGTTTCCGAGGCTGTAAATCTTTACAGGAGCAGAAAGCCTCATCTTTCTCCCACGGAACAGCTGGTAGTTTTGAACTGCTGACCTTGCCGCTCGCAGCCCTATTCTTAACCACTATGCTACCAGAGCTCCTATGGACCGCCAGAAGAACAAACAAATCTGTGTTGGAAGAAGTACAGCCAGAATGCTTCTTATAAGCCAGGAAGACCAGAGTTCGTTTGT